CATCTGAAACTACAGTTTCCAGGGAATCCAACATCCTCTTCTGGTCTCTGAGGGCACTAAGCACACAAATGGTATGCGTGCATACATGCAAACACTCATACAGATAACATAAAGTTAAAATTTAAAAAAATCTTAAAAATAAATGCCCAATTTCACAAATATTTATAAAGTATTAGAGCAGAATTCCCCTTCATCACCCCAGAGCTCTAACTGGCTTCTTCTCAGTTACTGCTCCCCTTCAGAACCCCCCAGCACATACCCTCCCTGACCTTATATATACATATTTTGAGCTGTACCTTTGGCTTTATACCTCAGAGGCATCCCTGGACACCACCCTTCATAGCTGCTGCTTTTGAACTTTCTATAAATGGAATTTCATGTGTATGTCTGGCTTCCCTCACCTTTTCTGTCTCTTAGGGGAAAGGGTTGCTTGGAGGCATGCAGACCAGTCCCCCAAGGCCCAGGGGTTCCTGACTCCTTCCACACCATCCTCCTACCCTGGCCAGTTTCAATAACCTGTAGGCTGGCTACCTCTCCTGGTTTGTGGGCCCCAGAGGCACAGCTTGACTCTGAGATAGTGCTGACCACCATGGCAAGACCCTGTGGGTGGCAGCACCAGTCACGAATGTCAGAGGGAAGGAGTATATCACTTCAATGGTCCTCAGACCAGGGCAGAATTCTCCTAGTGCTCAGCACAGGACACAGAGGTACCCAGCATCCCAAGCCTCTGCCCATAGGCCAATTTATGGCCCCCAGGCCCACTAGCCAGACCCCAAAGACTACAACCAACCAGCTGAGAAGTCAATCAACCCTACATATTCTCCACATCTGTACCAGAAAAAAAAATGAATAGAAACTGTGCTAGCTACAAGTAAGCCTCATGCCTGGGTCCAACCCTGGTGTTATACCCAAGGTGAATATGGGGAGCCATCCTCAGCATACTTCAATGGTGTTAGCCCTCAGAGGACCAGCTTTGAGAGCAAGGTATGGGTAGGAGTCCTTTCCTGAGACCTGAACAACCTCCCTAGAGATGGCTCCCAATGGACTGGGGTAGGAGACAGACCACAGAGAAAAATCATCATAAAAGAGTCAGGTCCACTTTTGGCACCGTCATCCACTTGGCAGGATGGCTGAGCCTTCCCCCTGCCCCGGCTCCTGGACCTGTTTGCCCCCTTCAGTCCTCTACAGTCAAGTAGCTATCACCTCTTCTACCCTTCCTAGGGGTCCCTGTGCTCACAGGGCCAGCTGGGTGTCCACCTCAGGCCAGCCTGCCTTCGGGGCCTTAGTGGGGCGCTACTGCAACCACCTGAGTAACCAGCAAGGACCCAAATTATGCCTTCCATGTTAGTGTAACAAGACTGGAAGGCATTCCTACACACAACACAAACACACACAGAGCACACATACACTGCAAACACATATGCAACACACACAAAGTCACATTAGAAATTTAAATATATGTGTACATTTAAACCACTAACCACACTCTGGAAAGTTTAGAGAAAATGAAGCTGGGGATAGAAATCACCTATTTTAAGGAACAAGTAAGTACATGATAAAGTGTGGAAATGCCTCACTTTTTTTTTTAATTTGGATCTTAAATTGGGCAGATAAATTAGCAGCTCTTCCTTTAGCTTCTGGGAAATGTTTCAATACAGGACAGAACAGAGAGTTTTTATTTGCAAACACTATTAACCATTTCCTGTTCCAACCTCAGAAATAGCTGTGAATCAGCCTGTGGCCTGGGCTGCGGGGCCCCGTGCCCCTGTGAGACCTCACTCTGCCCAGTGGGCCCCAGTGGGCTTTAGGTCTGGGTGCTCACTACCCCTCTGCCTCCCGCCTCCCTTGCAGTTGTTTCAAAATGATCCTTCTGTTTTCTGAACTTCCTGTCCCTGTCCCGGTCCCCATCTGGATGGAAACTTCTCATTGTCTCCAGAACTCGGGGATCCCCTCTCCCCAGCTTTCCATATGCTCTGCCTCTTGTGTCATAATCTTGAGACCAACACCGTGGAAACTAATGCTTCTCTGACCTGCTCAAGAGGGGAGGCCCCAGGGGACTTGTGAGGACCTGTCCCAGGAAAGCTGCTAGTGACCACTAAGCCATACCTCTGTTGGCTTCCTTCCCAGCTCACTTCCTAAGCATGTCCCCAGGAGTCCAGCAAGAAGCAGATGCAGGTCCTGGCTCCCCAAACAGAAATGCAGGCCACCATGACAACCTCACATCCAATGACTACACTTGTGCAGGGATAACTAGTGGTCACACCCAGATCTACACAAGAATGTCTCCAGTAGCTCTGTCCATGATCCCCACCAATTGAATCTCCCCACAGGTACCTCAGCAGGGAGCCTATCCACACCACCAGCCCTGGATCAGCACCCAAAGGGTCAGACCAGAGAACTGATACAGCTGAAGGATGCTCCAGGGAAGGATGACCCATAGCAAGCCAGACCAATGGGCATTAACTGTACCGCGTTGCGTAGGCAGCCAGCACAGTGGAATAATGTATGTAATGAAGAATAGCATGAGTGTTGTGATTGGGGGTGTGTATTTAAGGATAGTATACCTGCTGGGTATTACATGTATTGGGGCGTAATGTGTGTGTGGAATTATGGGTATTGGGGAATAGCATGTGTCTTGGGGATTGTGCGTGTATTGGGAGATCATGTGTATTGAGAAATCACATGTGCATTGGGAAACCACATGTATATTGGGGAACCACATGTGTTTTGGGGGACTATCTGTGTATTGGGGGACCACATGTGTGTTGGTGAACCACAAGCATATTGAGAGACCATATGTGTATGGGGGGGGTCTCATGTGCATTGGGGGACAGCATGTATTTTGTGGAATGAGTATGTGTTTGGGGATAGCCTGTGTATTTGGAATTTTGGGTTTGGAGGAAGATAAGTATGTGTGTTGAAGGTGGTATGCTTTGTGGGGAAGGTGTGATAAGAAGTCAGTAGTACAAGCTGGGGTGTGGGCCCAGCAGTCCCTTTCCAGGCTTGGTCCCAGAATCCTGCTGCTCCATACCCAGTACTACTTTTTCCTTCCCTCCTTCTGCCTCCTCGCAGGCTATGGGACCCTCAAGGCTCAGATCTTAGACCCTCTCTGGTAAACACTCCCCCTCAAGGGAGCTACAATGGCTGTTGGCACAGGGAAACCAAGCAGTGCTACCCCAGCCTTTCTCCTCACCCCACTGCTAAGGAAGAAAAAGGAAGGAGAGGGGAAGGGGGGGCTGAAGATAGGAAGGAAGAGAGTACAGCAGGAGGGAAGGGAGTGGGGCAGGAAGGCGTCCCCTCCCTCTCCATGAAGAGGTGTCCCAGTACATGGAGGCCTGGGGTAATGAGGAGACCTCCAGGGGCGGAGCTCCTACTTGACAGCTCACTACTCTGGGCCCAAGATCCCTCCTGCTCCCTCTCCAGTCCTGATGCACAGCTCTGTCCCTATAGAGTGCAGAGCCTCAGAATCCCACAAGAAAGCTCTAGATAAAGGATCAGAACAAGGCTGGGATCCATCCAGGATCTGCTTAGGCCACAAATGGCCAACACCTTACTGCCCAGCCCAGTTGGGGGGCAAATGGGGTGTTAATCTGAGCATACTTGGGGGCCATAGGGTGTCAGGAAGCTTTGTAGTGTGCCAGGCCTGATGGGGGTATGCCCCCTCGCCCCTGCCCGCAGGCCCAATGCTGAGACTGGGGGCGGCCAGTCTGTGCCTTGTATCTCACCTCACACTCTGATGCTCTTTTTCCATCGATGTACATGGTAAGGAAGTAACATTTCCTTCCCCACTAAGTGGGTGCCTCTGAGTTGGGGTGGCTTCAGCAGCTACCAGATGGTTTCCAGTCCTGCTGGTTATTTCAGACTGGTGAGACCCACACATCTCATCGCTAATATCAGCAGTTTCGTTTTTCCTATTTTCCGTTCACCGTGATAAAACAGAGCAGAGTGGTGAAATATCGAAGCTCCCCACAAATCAGGGGTACGGACTAGGCTGTCACAGGTCTGCCCACCCCGGCCCGACGAACAAAGTAGGGGGCTGGGCAGGCAGAGGGCAGGATGGGCGCCCACTACCTAGAGACTGAGGAGGGTTGACCTGGAAAGACCCAAAAACTGTGACCACCCCAGCCTGGTGTCAAGTTTGTCTGAAAAGAGAAAATGGCCCAAGACCCAGGACAGCAGGACCAGCAAACCCAAGACTACTGAGGAGGCAGAAAAGACAGTGCTCTAAACAGGTGGGTCAGTGCCTCGGAGGAAAGAAAAGGCAGGAGAGAAAACCAGACCAGGCCCAAGGGTTTTCTGGCGCTAATCGGGTGGCTGTGGGGGGGGGAATCATCTTTCCTGGGTCCCAGGAGGGGCCCACTACAGCCCCTCCAGGCCTCCTTTTAACCCTCAGGCTGAGCAGGTGGGGGTGGCTGGGCACTTGCTCCCCAAAAGTCAGGGCTGGACAGGCACTCAAAGGGCTCAGAGTCTCACCTGCCAGAGCAGGACAGGGTCCAGCCCACCATCACTGAAACCAGAGACCAGAACCAAAGAAAGCACCCACCCTCCAAAGACACAGGAGGGCTGACCCCAGTCTCCATCTCCCTCAGCCTCAGGCGCTAAGGAATCAGGAGATATGGATAGAAAGGACCAAAACCGCCCACAAGAGGGGCCTGAGATGGACAGGACCCCACAGTGGGGCAGGGGCAGGAGGAACTTGTATCTTTTCCCTACTCTTCCCCAACTTCCTCATCTCCCACCTACTCCCCATGCCCTCCTCTGGCATAAGTCCCTCCCACCTACCTCTCCCCCTTCCTTACCCCTTCTTTTATGTCCTCCCCCACCCCTCCGTTCGCCTGTCTCTGTGAAGGTGGAGGAAGAGGGGGTGGGGACCAAGAACAGCTTCCCTCCCTCTAACATGATCTGGGACAGTTTCCTTTCCACTACTGACAACTCTGCCTGAGCAGCCGAAGAGGAAGACACAGCAGCAGTTGAAAGAAGATTGGCCAGGTGCTCTGGGCATGTGGGTCCCTAAAGTGCCCTGGCCACTCACTTGGGCTGTGCTGCAGCTGAGCTGGTGGCCAGGGTGGCTTCAAGGTACATGGCTCCTGGGGATGCAAGGTCAGGATTGGTGACTGTGTCAGGGCTTAAAGGAACCTTTGCCCTCAGTCCCTGTCACTGGGAGGGGGTGGGGGTGGGGTGCTTGGAACACCAGTTGCCCCAGGTGCCCAGCTTGGCACTTTCTCAGTCCTAGCTTTAACAGGTGAGGGGCCCTTCAGGGCTCTGAGTCCATTCCCTCCTTACCCTTGGGCAGGCTGGACATTCATCCTGTCTTAGCTGGTCTCCATGTCTTTCTCTGTAGGGCAAAGGATAAAGGATAGGTCTTACCAGAGCCCTGGCCTTGACCACTCTGGCCCTGCTTCACTGTTCTGTCAGGCGTAGGTATCCCCCTCCCTCCTCTGTGTTTTCCCATGCTTGGAGCCAGCCCTATACATGGCTGGCCACTGACTAGATTACTGAAGATGTTCCTCTAATACACCAAGGGTGCAATCAGCTATGTTCCCTCATGGGCACAGTTTCTCCAGCTTGAATCTCTGGAGGAATTCAGGGTTCATACCCCTGGTTCACAGAATCCACAGTGGACTCTGGAAAGGGTGAAGTTAAGGGGTACAGCAACTCTTTCCAAACTCTACACAATGGAAAATGGGTTCCCAGTGCTCTTCATCCCCCAACCCCTTCCCTCTACTCTCTGGGCTGAGCCCACTTGCACTGGGAACCCAGGGCCAGAGGAAGGAGGTTCCCCAGTTCTTCGCCCAGGGTGGAGAAAGAGGTCACCCAGCTCCTGGGCCACAGTCATTCCTGCAGAGCATGGAGGAGTGACCCAGACAAGCTTATATGCCTTGGCTGCCCTAATACGTCTTTTACCTGTACTGATGCCCCCTTACCTGAAGGACCCTCTGTCACTTCCGTCCTAGCCCCTTCACTGTCATTATGAGTGGGGACTGGGTTCTCACCACCTCAGCCGCTCTCCCAGGGTTCAGGCCAACTCTGGTTGACAGCATCTTAGCCAGGTCTGCTGTCCCTTCATGCTGGTCTTGCTGTCAAGACTGGATGGAGGAAACAGACCTGAAAATGGTGATCCCACCAGGCCCTGTAGGTGTGTCCCCTGGGGGACCTTATCAGGAATACCTAGGGAGCAAGGGCAGCAGTACGTGTCATCAGAGAGGAGGAACTGAGGCATATGGAGGCCATGACTCACACTGGTGGCCTGCCACGCTAGGCATGTCCCTGAGCTCAGCTTCATGATGAAGTAAAGGGGTGGATTTATGCAGGTATACTCTAGTTTGTGCTTGGGCAAGTGTCTCAAAAGTGGTGTGCCTATTTCTGTACCTCAGCACAGAACACCTCACAAGGTCAGTGCCCAGCCTCTTGGCTGCAGTAGACCTCAGTCCAGGACATCTCTTCTTCTTCCCTGACTGATCCTCTTCTTATTCCAGTTGTTCTCACAGGCAATCCCTTTCCCCATGCCCCAACCCCAACAGTGATTCCCTAGTAACTAAGGTGAGGAAGATTCTAGCTTTGAAATGAATTGTTTCATGATTTGGTTAAAGCTGCCATTTTGGGTGGGCATGGTGCACATGCCTTTAATCCTAGCACTCAGGAGGCAGAGGCGGGCAGATCTCCATGAGATCGAGGTCAATTTGGTCTACGTGCACATAGCCAGTCCCAGGTCAGCTGGGACTGTAGGGAGACCCTGTCTCAAAACACGGGAAAAAAGAGCTGCCATTTTTACCAGGCATTGTGGAACAAGGCCAACCTGAACCACCTCTCCAGACCCTGTCAGAAAAAGCCAAAAATCAATATACAAAGCTACCACACCACCAGTGAATGTGATGACCTTTGGTGAGCAACACAGCCCCTTTGCCGTTCTCACCTATAATTTGGGGATAATAATGCCTGTCTGACAGGTAATGAGATCTAATTAGACCATTTATGAAAGCTGTCAAGCACATCCCAGAACACATTTCTTCAGGTCCAAATTGCTTTTTTTTCAGTCTATAATTTTTGAAAAATATCACAGTTTAAAAGCATTACAGAGACCCTCTCCAGAATGACTAGATGATTGTAGTGTGTGTGTGTGTGTGTGTGTGTGTGTGTGTGTGTGTGTGTGTGCGAGTGTGTGTGTGTTTATATATATTTGAATTTTGGGGGATTTTTTTAAAGGATTTTTTTTTACATTTATTTATTAGCTAATTTCTTCTTTCGTTAGCTTGGCCAGATTGTTGCCACTAAGCACCACAGCAGGGCTTGGGGGAGGGGTGGGATAGAAGGCAGAAAGCTTCATCTCAGTCTTGAAGTTCTGGAGCTGGAAGTCATGATGAAGGTCCTCAGTTCCTATGGACCAGTGTGTTTTAGGCTCTCTTCCTGCCTCTGGGTTTGCTGGCAACCTCTGGGTTCCTTGGAGCCTAGAAGCATCCTCCACCTCTGCCCTCACCCTCAGGCATCAGTCAGTGCCTATAATTCCTCTTTCTACATAGACACCAATCCTAGTAGGTAAGACCCAGCCTACTCCAAGCTAATCTCATCGCTACCCACTGCTCCTAACAAGGCCCAGTCCTGGGTTCTGGGGTATAGATTCCAAAGTGAGATTAAGAAAAGTTCAACCCACACCTGCGGTCTCTTCATATCATGGACTCTCTGAACCACTGAGCATCAGCTACAGATGCTAAAAAGCCCTTCAGTCCTCAGCCCCAGCCAGGTCCCCTGGGGACACTTCCCACCTGGATACAGCCAGAGCTCTGATATCATGCTCCTGGCTGACTGTCTTCTCCCTGGCTGGGCCCTGGTGAAGGATATGGCTTTGGCTGTGTGTCGGGAGCTGCACTCTACCTCCCCTCTGGCTTGATCAGTCTATGCCCATGGGAATCCAGGTTAAAGATGTGGAGCACCATCTGGGGCATCTCACATCCTCTTAAGGCCAAGGTCCTGATGATCCTTCTAGGAACACTTCAGAGAACCTCATGGTGAGGATGTTCCTCTCAGTGGACATAGAGAACACTATCCATTTGTGATGAATAAGGGACCAATGGAGCTGTTGAGGGCCCCCACAGCTCAACGCACCATGACTTTATCCTCCCAACTAGATCTTGCCTAAATAAGGTGTTGGGTGGCACTGTGTGGTCATGATATGGCTCAGCCCACAGGAGCCTGTGCTCTGCAGTGAGCTTTCCTCATGGCCCTCCATGCTCAAGCTCTGCCTGAAAGGACTCTCCCTGTCAACTTCCCAATGCTGCCCAGGACATGCACTTATCCGTCAACCTGCCTCCCTATATGAATCCAAGAGCAAGCATAGGGAAATCTAGAACCATGTGGAAATAACCCCAGAAGGCTTTTGTCATCTCTGAATTGTACCTTCCATGAAGAACTTTTTGCAGGCTAAGAGGACCAGGAGGCAGTAGCATAGCTCAGTCCCTTTTCCACTCTTCTAAATGAACACCACAGACTGGATGATTTATGAAGAATAAGGTTTAATCAACTGGGGGCTTTGAAAGCTAGGAGTTTGAGGTCAAGAGATAGCCTCCAGGGGCTGGAGAGATGGCTTAGCGGTTAAGAGCACTGACTGCTCTTGCAGAGGACCCGGGTTCGATTCCCAGCACCCACATGGCGGCTACAAATTGTCCTTAACTCCAGTTCCAGGGGAATCCAACGCCCTCTTCTGACCTCCGCGGCATTGCACAACATGGGCGCACTCACATATATGCAGGCAATACACTCATACACATAAAGTAAAAATAATAAATAAAATATAAAAAAGAGATAGCCTCCAATGGGGCCTTCTTCCAGTGAGGAGACTACAGAGTCCCAGAGTGGTTCAGAGTATCCCAGGGAGGGACAGGGTAAGTGTGCCAGAAAGCACTCAGTCTTGCAGCTCAGACTCTCCCTCCACAGCCAGTGATACAAGGGTCTGTGTGTGGGTACCTAGTCATTCCAGAACTCTCTCCCTGTACCTTGAGCATTTGGCTTTGGGAATAGTATTGCTGTGGACAGACATTCACTGATGGCTCCCAGATAGGTTTGGCAAGGATGGGATTAAACATAAGGAAGTCAAGTGATCACCATCAGCACCCCTCACACTGAAACTTCAGGGCCAGGAATCCTGGGACAGACTGGGTAGAGGAAAGAGATTGTTTACACCACATTCTGGCCCCTGTGCCTCAACCAGACTGGGAGACATAGGGTGACCTCAGCTGGAATGGCTCAGGTGCACTCCAAAGTGGATCTCAACTAGTCCCAGGTTCCCAGATCCTGGCTGGAAACTCACAGGGTCGGAAAGTGATCTAAACAGGGAAAACAGCCCAAGCCCCTTCATTAGACTGTACACTGCCAAGTAAAAAGCAGTCCTGTCTGCCAGTTTTTATAAATGAGGAAATTTGTGCGTGCATGTTTGTGTATGCACATGCATGTGTATGTATATAGAGGCCGGAGGTTATTGCTGGGTATCTTCAACAATCATTCTCCACGTTACTTTTTGAGGTAGAGTATCTCTCCAAACCTAGAGTTGCTGATTCAGCTAACATAGCTTGCCAATAGGCCCCAGGGATCCTCCTGTCTCTGCCTCCCCAGTGTTGTGATTATAGACATGTACCACCACACTTGGCTTATGTGGGTGCTAGAAATCAGTCTCAGGCCCTTATGCTTACTGGGCCAACTGAGCCAACTTTCCAACCCCATGGCATTTGTGTGAGTGTGGGTGTGGGCATCCACAGGTTCTCATGCCCGTGTGTATGTGTGTGTATGTGTATGTGTATGTGTGTGTATGTGTATGTGTGTATGTGTATGTGTGTATATGTATGTGTGTATGTGTATGTGTGTATGTATGTATGTGTGTATGTATGTGTGTATGTATGTATGTGTATGTGTGTATGTGTGTGTATGTGTATGTGTATGTGTGTATGTGTATGTGTGTGTATGTGTGTATGTGTATGTGTGTGTATGTGTGTATGTGTATGTGTGTGTATGTGTTTGAAGGCCAGAGGAAGACATCAGGTATCCTGCTCTATCACATTCTACCTTGTTTTCTTGAGGCAGGGTCTCTCACTGAATCTCGAACTTGTGTTTATCATCTGGGATGGCTGGCTATAAGGCTCCAAAAATTCTCCTGCCTCTGCTTCCTATGACACTAGGGTTACAGACACATGTTGTCATACCTGTCTTTTACATGGGTGCTAGGGATCCAAACTCAGAGCTTCATGCTTGTGCAACAAATGCTCTTACCCACTGAACTCTTTCCCTAGCCCTCCATCCTCCCACACTGGACCATGAAATTTTTAATTATGCAAACAGCATCAGGACAGTCACAGTACAGGGACATAGGGAAATACTGGTCTGCTGTACCCACAAGTCAGCACTCTCTCTGCACCCACAGCTCTTCTCTACCCACCACTTCTGCATATCTCGGAAGTGTATGCTTTTATCATAGCTTGATAGCACGTGCCTATAATTCCAGACCTTGGGAGGTGGAAAAAGAATTGTGAGTCCAAGGCCAGCCTCAACTACTTAACCAATTCCTTTATTTTTAAAAAAAATCAGCCTCATGTAGTCTAACCACAGTGACTTTTCATCCTCATCCTCCTATGTTGTCCCCACAGACATCTACAGTCTGAAAGGGAGACTCAGAGGTGCTGTCCAGGGTCTCACTGCAGGATTAGTCTATCTATCTATCTATCTGTCTGTCTGTCTATCATTATCTATCTATCATCTATCTATCATCACCTGCCTGTCTATCTAGTCAGAAGTGCAGGGAGCCTGAATTGCTGGGCTGCTTGGTGCTGAACCCACCCAGCCCCCATCACACCCAAGAAGGTGCTCCCAACCCAATTCCCAACAACTCTTCCAGATGCCTATGCACTCCTTGCTCCATCTGGGCGGACTGAATGCCTATTGTTATCCTCCCTGTGGTCTTCCTGTCTGGTGGCCTCCAGAGATAGATGCTCCCTAGCCAAAGCCTAGCTCCTCCTACACATACTGGAAGCTGAGCAGTGATCTCTAGGCCTGCCACAAGCACACTGGGGGAAGGCACATCCAAGTTTTGTAGAGGTATGCTTAGAGAGGATTAGCCCAGGAGGTAGCAATGAGGCTGGGGGGCACAGACCAAGCAGAGGCCACCCTGAGGAAGGAGAAAGGGACCCAGGAACCACCTGGACCTAGACAGGACTAGGCCAAGGCCTGGAACAGGCAGAGACAGAGATCCACAGGAGGACAAAAGCCTGGGAAACCAAGGGTCTCACAAGCAGAACAATAAAGAGCCAGTGAGCAACAAGTGACTCAAATTGTCATACATTCAGGCCCAGATGAGGGCTGCAATCAAAGGACAGATAAGGAGAGACCTCAGAGTCCATCATCAAATGTCCACCCAGGAGCTCACATGGTGCAACCTGGGAGCTAGCCTTGAGAGGAAAGGTGGCAGGTGACTCCCTGAGGACTCACCATGGTCCCAAGGCCTGGTAGACAGGGGCCTATCAGGGAAGACAATAGAAGAGAACTGGACAGAGGGGTGCCTGTGAGTAGTGCGCCCACAAACCACAGGTGCCTCTGAACAGGAATACCTTTCACAGAAAGAAGAAGGAGGCAGTGCCCTTTGGCTCTCTGGGAGATTTTCTGATCTTCCTGACTGAAGCTTACCTGGGGTACTTGTGAAAAATCTCTAGGTTTACAGTTCCAAGGAGGAAGACCACAAATAAGAAAGACTACACTAATGGTCAGCCCAGGGTGGGGTGGGGAAGCTTGTCTACTTCTGCCAAATCTGAGTTCAACCTTGCTGTATATAATTGCTGAAAACTTTCTTCAAAAGGGTTTGTCTTTTCTTGAGCAAATGTTTAAAGAAGAGACCCATTGACAACATCATAGCATGACAGGCTAGCTGTGTGTGGTTCAGGCACAATCATAAGCCAAGGAAAGGGTATAATGCAGCCCCGTGGTATTTGTATTGCTCCTGAGGAGGAACAGAACAGTCACCCTTGCTGAGAAGTGAAGACTGCACCCACACTGGTGGCCCTGAACCTGGCCCCTCCAGAGTTCCCTGATAGCTGCTGGTCCTCCTTTCCTGTGTAGAACTCATGGACCACTACTCACTTTGCCCAGAGCCACAGGGTTGAGGCTTCACCACCTCTCCATAGAGTCTAGGGACCCCAGCCTTTGAGAGGACTCCAGGGACATGCCCACCCTCAAGTCCAGGTATCACTTGATCAGATCTGCAGGATCTGGCCCTGTTCATCCATCATCCATGGATAGCTGGGAAGAGCAAAGAGAACAAGCAGCAGCCCTGCTTCCTCCCAGGTAGACGTGGAGGCCATCTCTAGGTAGGGTTATGTGGGGGGGAGGGGCCTCAGGATCTTCCCCTGCTGAAACTGCCCCCCTCATTGCAGACGCTATCTAGCCCCTCTTCTTAACCTCTCACTCCCAATTGCTCCTCTTCTGAGCCCATGGGAAGCCTTGGTTGTTGCAATGCAGCCTTACTCTTTGTCACCCTGGGAGAGAATCATGTCCAGCAAGTATAGTCAAATGCTACATGTTGGAGACAGGGGCGTGTTTGGGGTACAGTGCTCTGGGCCATGTGAATGGATAGAATTTATTTGCTATGTGACCACTCAACCTGTGGGAGGGAAGGGCAGAGGGATGGAAGGTACAAGACTAGGAACCTAGCCCTGCTCTGCACTGACCTTTTCTCCACAAGTCCCAGGTGCCAACTGATGATATAGGCAATGGGTAAAAGGAGCTGGCAGCACATCCAAAGCTGAGACCAGAGCAACTTCAAGCCTGTACTATATGTCTCTGAGCCTATTTTCTATGTGCAAATCAGTCTTTCCTGGGTAAAATTCAGCATGTGTGTGCTCAACAAGGCTATCTTTCCTGGACCTTGGGACTTCTATCACTACATCCTTGACTGAGGAGGCAGATGAGACAGGGTTTGCTAGGAAGATCTGGAAGTCCCCTTTGTGCTGCATGCAGGTAACCCTAACAAAGCCCTGGCAGTCATATCTTCCAGTACATCTTTGCCTTGGGGAGCCTGGGGCCATGGGAGCCTCTGCTTCTGTCCATTTGAGGGACAATGACCTAGCAAGACTCTGGAGGCTCCTCACTGTGATCTCTGAGCCAGCTTGTCTGGCTGGAAGATGTAGCTGCCCCACAGGACCTGTTGCTTATGGCAGGTCTGTCAAGCTGGGTTGTTGCCCTGGGCCATGGCACAGGCTGGGCCCCAAACCTACCAAAAAATCCCACTCCCTCCAAGCCTGTGAAAGTCCTCACACTCCAGCCCAGCATCCTGCTGACCCTGAAGGCAAGACAAGGACAGCTAATGCAAGGGCCAGTGTTGGACCATGCAGATCAGTTCTGGGACACCTTGCACAGGAGTGGGAAACTAGAACCATCTAGAAAAATCTCGAGGTTTCAAAGGTCATAAATAAGCATGCTAGGTAGAGCCTCCAGCCTCTGGGCTCAATAACGTCCAAGGATAAGCCCTCTGTGAGGGCTAGCACATATCCACAGCTTGTAAGAAACTACAGGCTCCAGGTAGGAGCACTGCCTAGGAGATTCCAGCCTGAGTGGGTTTGAGAGAACCATTCCCAGGAAACTCTAGAACATAGCAAGAGAGGGTGCACAAGCCCATTCCTCACAGCTGTTTTTTTCTCATTTATCTCAGAGGTCCACAATGGGCCCTGGAGGCCCCTGACCTTCTCACCAGCCCAGCTCACAGTGCCAGAGGGGACAAATGCTACCTTCACCTGCAGCCTCTCCAACTAGTCCGAGGACCTTACACTGAACTGGTACCGCCTGAGCCCCAGCAACCAAACTGAAAAACAGGCTGCCTTCTTCAAGGGTCTCAGCCAGCCCGAACGGGATGCCCGCTTCCAGATCACACAACTACCCAATGGGTATGAATTCCACATGAACATCCTCACCACACAACGCAATGACAGTGGCATCTACCTCTGCGGAGCCATCTCCCTGCCCCCCAGGACAACCCAGATCAAGGAGAGCCCTGGAGCAGAGCTCCTAGTGACAGGTGAGGCCAGGATGGCCTGAGCGGGAGGCCCCTCCTGCCCAGGGACCTGCTAGGGTCCCAACCAGAGCTCTGCCTGGAGCTTCCAGGACCCTGCCTCTGTCTCTGTGGAAACCCTCCAGCCTCAGTTGCCCATTTATCTTTAGAGAGGGCAGAACATAGGGAAGCATGGTGACTGATCATGACCCATCTGAGACAGATAGCCCTTGGGCCTTGAAAAGGGCAGGGTGGATGCCCCCAAGGAAAATACACTATGGGTGTCCTTGAACCCTGTCCTTTCTGGCCCTGTAGAGAGAGTCTTGGAGCCCCCCACAGCACACCCCAGTCCTTCACCCAGGCCAGCAGGTCAGTTTCAAGGCTTGGTCATTGGTATCCTGAGCGTCCTAGTGGGTATCCCTGTGTTGCTTCTGCTGCTGGTCCGGTTCCTGGATGCCTTCTGTTCAACAGACATGTCAGGTAAGGCTTGTCATAGCCCTTTCCCTGTCCCAACAAAAACAGAGCTCCGGGCCTTGAGCATAATCCTGTGGGTCATCCTCTACCCCCTCTGCCTCCCTCCCTTACTCTACTACCTGCTGTCCCCCAGAGCCCCTGACTACCATGAAATCTTGCAGTCACTATACCTCACACACACTCTGATCACCACGAGGGCCTGTGATCACCACACTTCACACACTGATATCCACAAAGGTCTGTCTCATCACACCTCACACACTCTGACCACTACAAGAGCCTGTGGCCACCACACCCACAGCTGTCTCCAGGCTGCTGGTTTCACTAAATCACTGGTAACAGTGGCCATTTCTGTGGCTGGAAGGGCTAAGTGAGGCTTCCTTAAGGCCCTGTCAAGAAGTAACTATGCCTACACTGACATTTCCAGGAGCCCCTTTACCTAAGTCTGATCATCAGCCAGCCAGGAGGGACACTTGTAGCATCTCTGACTTTGTGCCTTCCATGTGTTATACTGTACCAAGAAAGAGGACACAGATTATCTGTCCCTATGACAGACCCACACAATCATTCAACTGAGAACTCCCACTTACTACATGAGGATGGTATGAGCAGGAATGGAAAACCTGCCCCCCACCAGGGATTAGATCTCTTCAGGGCCTGAAACCCCAGGATAGCTCCCCAGCCCCACCTCCAGGCAGATACTCTCCCTCCACCAGGGAGGATGACTCAGCAGCTACCCATCCACCCTGAGTCAAAGTGTGTTTCTCTGCAGAGGCCAGAGGAGCTGGATGCAAGGAGCAGCCCCTGGTGAGTCTGGGTCCTCTTCGTGAATGATCCATCACAATCTGTCCCCAGGGCTGGGTACAGGCAAAAGGGCTGTTGGCCATGGGGTCTGCAACTTGGGGACTCAAGCCTACCCCCAAGCTTAAACTTCTTACCAGAACCCCAGAGTCACAACCAGCTGCTCTGCCCACCAGCCAGTCCCAGAATATATAGCCTTGCCATGTGCTGGCCTGTGAGACCACAGCATGGCAGTGTAATCACTGTTTATCCTATGCTGGGCAGGGACAAGGTAGAAAAGTCACATTTTAGAATCCTAAAGCTGCAAGAATGCCAGGGACAGTTTAGAGGTGGAAACAGCAGGAATGAGGGGTTGCATCCTGAATCTCAAAAAGGGCAGTTGGGGGATGGGGTAGCTGTTAGCGCCCAGCTTCAGTGGCTGGAGTACACTTGCTATAAGAAGAACCCCAAATCCAGTGACAGGCTCCACAGAATGGAATCCCAGGATGGTTGAGGTTGTGGGGACAAATATAACTCCACTTCTGACTCCTCCTTCCTCTCTCCCTGAAAAAGGAGGACTCCTCAGCAGTACCTATCTTTAGTGTGGCCTATGAGGAACTGGACTTCCAGGGACGAGAAAGGACTCCAGAGCCTCCTGCGCCCTGTGTACATACAGAGTATGCCACCATCGTCTTTGCTGATGGGCTAGGTGCCTTATCCTCAGGACGTAGGGGCTCAGCTGATGGCCCTCAAGGTCCCCAGCCCCCAAGGCATGAGGATGGACACTGCTCTTGGCCCCTATGACCAGCTTCTTCAGCACAGGTCAGTTTCTCCTTCAGGTCGAGTGTGCAGACTCCCAGGGGCTGAGCCATCTGGAATGACATCCCAGTGCCTGTGCCAGCCCCACCAAGGCATGGCACTATTGAGTGACACTTCTTAATGTTCACCACAAGCTTGGAACAGCAGACATCACTGTCCTGTGCATAGCTGCCTTGTCACAAGGCACAGAGTTGGCCTGAGTCCGAGTCTCCTGAATCCTGCTGCTAGGCACTGCCAGGGATTCAAGTCACTGTGGCCCATGGTCTCTAGGGCTCCTGTGCCTGGAGATGGGGGACTTGATTGGAGACTGCTTTGGAGTAACCCTGTGAGGCACCCTCCCCTAACAAGAAGCTCCAGGTACACGGTGGACACAGAACCAGAAGCTGTTCGTGAGGGACACTCAAGTGGGACATCCATAGGCTGGGGGACCAAGGGGTCATGAGCTACCCTCTGACCTTGAGAAGTTTCAGTGAAGGCTAGAAAAGCTCCTGGTTTCAGGGAACCAGAGCAGCATGAGCATTTGCCAGGCAAACTCTGCAAGAGTCCCCTCTACCCTTCTGTGTGCCCAGGGAGCACCTCAGCCTTTTCTACAGCAGGGAAACTGAGACAATAATAGAAATAGGCAGAGTTAGAGGCCCACCCACACCTCCAGTGAAGCACTTGACTCTCTCCCTGCTCTCCCCTAAGAGATGCGAGAACAGTGTCCCATGTCAGCAGCAAGGAAGAGAAAGGAGACTCAACTTTGACCCATCCTAGCTGTGGCCATCATAAACAGGATGGTGGGCAGTAATGCAGGTGTTGGAGTCTCCTCATTCATCCTCTCCTGGAATCTAGTTTTGGCTCCCATTCACAGTATAGGGTTCTGGGTGGCCAAAGGGTACAAGTGCTCACTGAGCACTTCAGACAACCAAAGTAGCAAGAGCCTGGCTGACCAGTAGGTACCCATATGGTCAGGACTCAGGAGCCCCTTCCCTTTGGTTCTAGACTATTATAATTAAATGATGATAAAAACCGTATGAAGTCCTGTTTTGATCCTGGGGGAAACAGAGGAGAAGAGCTCTGGGTTAAGGCTGAGGCTCCAGGTAAAATTGAGCAAGTGGCCCTCCTGAGGCCTGGCTTGAGTCGGCCCTTACCATCACTGTCTGAGAAACACACAGTCCTCTCCAGCTATCACCCCCACATTTACACATGACCTCCCAGGTGTGAAAGGTCTTCCTCTGCAGGTATGAGGATAAAGGCATGCTCCCCACCCCAGGCCTTCCCAAGGTCCCACAGCTATAGATCCCAAGCCCCAGTCCAGCAGCAAAGTGCCCTGGGTTGCTGTGTCCCCCATCTATGTATCCTTCAAGGCAGGTTGGTGCCTTGTGTGGAGGACCGTCTCAGTAGGGTAGGTGGGCTACATCTGGCTATGAGAAAGACACTTGTGGGTCCCTCCCCAATGCACAGAGGAGGATGTTTCAGAAGAGACACACTTGGTCCCAGCCAATCACCATACTGGGCTCTTGACTGTTGGCCCACAGGGAAGGGGACGATCCCTCTCCCTAACCCCTACCTGAGGGATAGTGGACCTGACCCAAGGCCCTTGAGTGCTGCAGTTGCCACCCATTCCCCAGCCCTTTGAGTACCTCCTGAGTTCACTGCCCTCCCTCTATACTGGGCAAAGGAGAAGGAGCAACCACATCCCAGACAGTGTCAGAGGTAAAGTGCCCAGGGTAAGCCAAGGTGCTAGAAAAATCCATAGGTACCACAAAAAGAAACCTGGTTTCCTGGCAGATAGGAGAGAGATAGCAGCTTCTCCAGTGTTCAAGAAGTGTCATTCAACAGTGACAGGGACAGAGTACTAGCCTACTCCCTTGGCCACAGCTGCAGATTGAGGCATCACTTAGAAGCAAGATGACTAGAGGAGAAGCAAGGTGCAGACTCGCCTTACCACAAGAAGGGTTCTGCTCACAGCGACTGCATACCACAGACATGGCAGTTCTTCCCACTTGATCTATAAGCACAGCATCATCCTGTTAAAACCCTCCCCATTGGAACTATAATGTTATGTTGGAAAGCGGGTAAGGAAGCAGTCAGGTTAACTATGAAGGAAGAGTGAAAAGAGGTACATTGCTTGGGGTGGGGACAGCAAGAGCAGCCACTTGCTGAGCCAGGTGAGTACTTCCTAAAGGTGCTAGGGCATGGCAGTCTCTTGGACAGGACCCAGACTCCTGCCACATGCAGCTCACTTGCACACTCCCAAACCGGGCAGACGGTGCGAGAAGGAAACCTGGGAGCATGTGGAAGTAAGGGCATGATCCCAAACAGCATAGATGCCAGGCAAATAGCTATTAAAGAATTTCAGTCAAGAAACAATTCGGAGTAAGATGGACACACTCACCTGTCAAAGCGGAAGGCAAAACAAAACCCTAACATATCATAAAACCTTAAAATATCATAAGCAAACTGAGGTAAAACACCTGCACTGTCACACCAAGATCTGAATATAAACCATATAAAGATCTAAAAATTGGAAAGAAGAAAATTCAAAATATAATGGAAAAGTTGGTGGGAGATATAACCAGCAGCTCACCAAAATCTGTGCATGTACACACATGTATGTCTGTTTATACATGTGTGCAGATACAGTATGTGTTCGTGCATGTGCTGTATGTTTACATGTATGTGTGTTTACATGTATCTGTACATATGTACATATGTGTATACAGTGTGTAAGCATGAATCTGCATTCCATGTATGTGTGTACATGTATGTGCACCCATGTATATGTCTCTATATGTGTAGGCACATTCAGTGTGCATGTACATGGGTCTGTTGTGTACATGCATATATATATATATATATATATATATATCTTAAGCAGTAAAAGGACATTCAATTTTACTCATAATGACAAAAATATAGTTAAAACCACACCTGCCAGACACAAAGCAAGGACAGCTTGGCTGGGCTGTAAAGATCAGTCCCTCCTTCCTGTCTAAGGAGGAAGCTCCAAGCAGGACAGGATGGGCACTGATTTGCAGCACTCACCCTTTGCCCAGCTGTCCCCTGTGGAAATACCTCTAGAACCAATGAGACAC